CTGCGCTGGCAGCTGGGATTGAGGCTGTGAGTGCCACACCTGCCTGCGCTGGCAGCTGGGATTGAGGCTGTGAGTGCCACCTGCCTGCGCTGGCAGCTGGGATTGAGGCTGTGAGTGCCACCTGCCTGCGCTGGCAGCCTGGATACAGCTCTGGACTGGCATCTCTACACACTGTGAACTAAATCAGCATCTCCTTTAACTTTGGGTAGCAGGTATTTTGTCTCAACAATGAGAGAAAAGTGACTGAGAGAAAGAAGATCTTAATGATTCACAGTTGATAAAAGATACAACAGGACAAGGTAGGAAGTGTGCGGCAAAAAGTCCATGGGTGAAAACGCTACACACTTTTATAAAGATTGTTAAAATTTATTTGTGGACTGGGGACATAGCACAGTACCTGCTTGGCAAACGTAAGGTCCCACGTTCTGTTCCCAGTACCAAATAAATAAATAAATAATCATATTAACCAACAAATACAAAATGTAAGATCTATCCAGTAATCTGTGAGGACCAAAAGTTAGGGTTGATCTGGGCAATTTAGTGACTTAGTGAGACTCCATCTCATAAACAAAAAAATTTAGGGTTGGGATGTAGCTCTGTAAAAAACACCCCAAGTTCAAAGAAAAAAACCTGAAGGTTATAGAAGGTACACATCTACCTCACGCCGCCCTCAGCTGCTGCCAGCAGGAGAATGAAACTGGGCAAGGGACACACCCGTGCGACCAAATTTCTAAACTCTCCACTGTGCTAAAGCAGTAATAACTGCTTTGATTCTTCCACCTGCGATTACCACCCTGCATCTACCTCTTTCAACTCTATCAGCCAGGTAAGAAAATTCCTACGAAGGAACGTATGGAAGTCCCTGGAGCGCTGCCTCCCTCATTCACCCCAAATCAATGCCATACAAGAGCAAGGAATCTGTGTAAGTACATGATGTGCTTGATAAAAATAAATCAAGAGCAGGTCGGCAGAAGTAAGACTGGGCTGCGGAGCTCAGTAGATTATTTTGCTTAGACGAAAATGTTTGCAAATCCCAGTTTGCAACGCACGTTCAGAACAAAAGACTACTCGATGATAACTTGATATTTGTAAAAAAGCAGCCTCGGACTTCCAACTGTGCCAGCGCTGGCTTCTCTCCCTGGAGGAGCTGGCTCTGGGAGGGCAGCCACTTTTCCGTGCGTCTTGCTGATGCTGCCTGTGGGACAACTAGCTTGTTTCTTTTCTGCAATGAAATTGTCAGTTAAAAAAAGAAACCTCCCCAAGTGTTATTATTGTGAAGTTTGCTAAACAGCTTATACCATTTAAATATTTATTAAGGAGTCATGCCATAATTCTATTCTATTTTATGGATTCAACAAGCAGTACTTCTAAACAAACCTTAGCAACGTGGAAAGAATGTCCTAAGACTATGAAGGCTACCTTACCTAAATCATTACAAAGACAACAGCTGCTCAACTTATCAAGTTTCTGCTGGGGTGAATACGGGGAAGAAAAAGGTTCAGAAGGGGCGCGAGACAGAGGGAATACCTTACAGGAGGGAAGTGGTAGAACTTAGCCCAAAATACAGAGCACATGGGGGAAGAGAGCCTACTTTACAATCTCTCGGGTAGAGAATGAAGCCTGCACTGCCATGCAATCACACCTTAGAGTGGGCTCGGAGGCGAGCTACCTGCTGCATACCTGGCAGGAGCGGTCGGATAGATGAGTTTTATGTGCTGGAAAGTTAGGTCTTGATTCAAAACCTCCTTAATCCACCTCCGCAGTCCTGGCCCAGAATCACCTGAAGAAATTAGAAAGTGAAGCGTCAGACCCGCGCCTTAGTAACACGGCCGTCCAGCAGAGTCCACAGCCCTCGTGCATGAAGGCTGGGATAAGAGACTACATGAGGCCCGTGCACAAAACTAACTGTCTAGAAACTGATTTATCAATGAGTTAATTGATCAGTATCATTAGCTGGTCATAATTTGGATGATTTTACTCTTGGCCCGATTACTGATCACTTTGAAGACTTAAGCTTGGTTTTAGATTTATTTGCTTAAAGGATGCAACAAAAAATTGATTTTTTAAAAGAAAGAAATTATTTCTGTATCTACATCCAGTGTTAACAGTACTGTTTCTTATTTTGCTCTTCCAAGTAACAAATTTCTGAAGTGACTGATCAGTTCTGGAGCTGGATAACACAGTTGTGCTGGTTCCTCTACTGTAAGAGTAACAACTCTTCCAAAGGGATATTCAGTGAATTTTAATTTTTAACTTCAAGAAAATTAGAAAATTTAGTAACATGTTTACATGACCCCAAATTATGATTATTTACTCCAAAGCTAAAAAACAAAAACAAGACCCACAGATTTAATATATGCATATTTGCACAAAAAAATGAAATATACAGGGCAAAGTTACACAATTCTAAAATGAAATTTTAAAGACACAGTTTAATTTTGTAATCAATTAATTCAAAAATGATCTCCTGAACACTTACACATGCGCCAGGCATGCTGTACACTCACGGGCAGAGGGACCATCTGAGGGGTCATGGTGTCCCTACTAACACAGAGTCACGGAGTCCAGAGCTCACAGTGGGAAGCACGCATCAGTGAAATAACCAGCAAACACGTTCAGAACAAAAGACTACTCGATGATAACCTGATATTTATAAAAAAGCAGCTTCCCTAGTGCTGGGATTACAGGCATGTGCCCACCACAGTGCACCAGGGGTTTGGGGCCCGCATGGCATGTGGTACTGGGGATTGAACCCGAGGCCTTGCACTTGCCAGGAAAGCACTTAGACCACCAAGCTGTCTCCCTAGCCCCTGAGATGCTCTTCCTAATGTCTACAAGGTTTCCTTTTAGGAGTGGCCTACCAGAGGGGGGCACAAATCCAGCCTATCGTCCTACAGGACCATAAGTGAAAAATGAGCTCCATAGTTTCAGAAAGTATTTAGAAAAAAACACTAAATTAAAAACAAACAAACAGAAAGGAAGACAGGAGAAGGGAAGACCAGGAGACAGAGATCTGATGTGGCCGCCGGGCTGGAAGCACTCGCTGTCGGGCCTTCACGAAGAGCGTCTGCGTCTCACCGCCTGGATGCTGCGCGCCCTGCCCACTGCCCCAGACCCTCTCTTCCAGCTCCAGCCCCGCCCGCTGGAGCACATTCATCGAGCGTGTTAGGGAACCCGCTTCGGGGCCTCTGCCTTGGCATTTGCTTGTCTGCAGTGGCCTAATCCAGTATGCACGTGACTTGCACATCGAAGCCTAACCCTTCACGCATCATCTTTACAGGAAGCCTGCTCTGGTCATGTTATGTAAAACTGCCTCTCCTCACACCTTCTGTGCCCTTTGTTAACCCCCAGACTATCTTCTACTATATTAGTTATTTCTTTCAGTGGAACATAAGATTCAGGAGAGCAGTGATTTTTATTTAGCTCACCGCTATGTGCTCAGAGCCTTGAATGTACATGACAGCTATTTGATATATTTTTTAATGGATGGATTAATGCATGAAATGTTTATCAGATAGGTAGATATGTCTAAAATTCAAAGGAGGTCCAAGATGGGGACATACGTCGGCACCTACTGTATGTGGGTAAAAACAGGTCTATATGCTTGTATGGAGCTTAATTACCCTGGGGAGAAAAATGCAGAGTGAAAAGTCCTGAAACCACATTTTGAGGAAACCCATCCTTAATGGCCTTGAAAGGGGGATGAGTCTCGGAAAGCAGAAGGGTAGACAGAGCACAACTCAAGTAAGAGACGGGGAAGCCATGGGTCACTTCATCCAGATCCAAGTTAGTCAACTCACGCTGACTTACCATATGGGCAACAGTTCACAAATAAGACACACAATTTGGGTCTCGTAGAAACTGGCACTGCCATGTGGGACCCAGAGGTAACCGAGGTGGTCACAGTATGGGGAATACCATGGAGAAAACCCAGCCTACAGAGGCTAATGATAGAGCGGACCTACCTAACCAGCGCCCGCACAGAAAGCTAATGATGCAACCCTTTACGTCAGTAATCCTAAAGGAAGGCATCTCCTCAGTACTGTGGAAGCAGGAAAAGCTCCAATGACATCACTAATATGTGACTGGCACTCTCTCCCTCGGCCACTCCTGTAGCCCAGATGAGAAGCCCAGACTTTCACGATCGCTCAAAAGTGTTGAAAGTCTTTAAGCAAACTTTTTCAGTCTTGAAAACTAAGACTAAATGCTATGAAATAATATCTATTCATCCACAAGTCCACGTCTACAGAAGCTAGCTCCTCATTTTCAGGGTATAGTACAACTATTAGAGTTATTATCTTCACATTTGGATTAACCAGAAAAGATACCTCCTGGAACAAAATGACCAGCCTCTACCTTGATTAAAAAGCCAACTCCCAACAACAGTTTTATATACTTCAATGGAGATTAAGGACTACAAGACTCATATAGTACTCACATACTCAAGAGAACCATTTGGACGAACGAAGGAAAAAATATACAAATGTGGGTTCCAGGAACATGCATTACAGATTATAAAAATGTCAGTAATATGAAATTAAAGAGTAAGGATAGTTACTTTAAGCAAAGTGGTCCAGGGAAGGGACATCCAGTTCTTTCTAAAGATACTATAAATTGATAAATTAATTTATAAGAAAAGATGTAATACTGGGGAATTTCTGGGTACTTATATACCCCTAGAGCCCTGAATGCACCCCTAGTTTCCCAGTTGGGGAGCATTTGCCTCATCAGCATCTCCTCCTACAGCAAGTGCACCAGCCAAGTCTTTCCCTTTAAACACCACCGCGGCTTCTGATTTCCAATGACGTGCCTTCAGTTAGGGCTTTCACCTTGGCCGTGCAGAACGCTGACTTCTGGAGGCAGAGCCTGGGCTCCATCACATCTCACCACCACTCACAGGAATAGCCAAGCGACCTCAGCCCCGCTGTGGGACCTCCAGGCCCCATTTTCTAACGGCAGAGGACCTTCAACACAGATTACATCTGGCTCTGGTCTTCTCAGTCCCCTCCACTAGCTCATGATCAATCCCTGAAACCTCCACTTTCAACAAAAACACTACTTTCTTAGAAAAATCGGACACTTATCTTCCAGATGCCTTCATAATGCCTAGCCATAGCTTTTTTCTTCCTTGGCAGTAAATCATGGACCATCTTGTGATCTGCTGTCCACTGCTGACTCAAACTAATTGAATTGTTTTTCTTTTTAAATTTAGGTAGGCCCCCTAAGGACATGGCTGTGCGTCATTCTTTCTAAAACAAAAACAAAAACATTTCCTGGGGACTTATCCTGGACCAGGCCACTGCACTGGAAGGATTAAAACAAGACGTGGCCTTACCCTGCTGTAAGCGGGCAGGCACCCGCGGCCTGGGGACTCGGAAGAGACCTTGCCACAGGGAGAGGAGAAAGCAAGAAGAGGTGGGGACGAGAGAAAGGACGGGGTCGCGCTGCAGCGCGGCACGGGAGGTGCTCGGTCAGGGCGCCTGCGGATCCCAGGACCCCCGTGGGATGGGAGGCGACCCGGAAAGCGAGGTGCATGTTGCACGGTGGCAGGAAGGATCTCGGCAGCGGACCCGAACACCCGGTGCGCCTCTCAGGCGGGCCGGCCTCGCTCCCGCGCCCCACCGGGACCAAGCGGCAGACGGGCCGCCCGCAGAGGACGCGGCGCGGACCCGGCAGGCGGCCCAGGGGACGGGGACGAGGGGCACGGGCGGCCGCGACGGCGACAGGCCGCGCCACCTGGGAGCACGGGCCACCGCGGAGGGCGCTTCCTCGCTGCAGAGAAACAGCACGTGAAACTGAGGTCCACCTGAGCCGTGCAGGAAGATCAGCGAGGCGCTGTGTCTCCCGGTCGGCGACACCACGCAGCGCTGCAGGCGACCCGGAACCCACGCGGCCGCCATCGCGGAAGGGAAGCCAGAGCCCGCGGCCCCGCCCTCGCGGCCCAGGCCCCGCCCAGGCCCCCGCCCCTGTCCGCAGGCCCCGCCCATTCACCGTTCTCCAGCCCGGTCCCGCCTCTGGCCCCGCCCCCGCCGGTGCGGCTCCACCCCTTATAGTATCGGCCCAGCCGTAGCAGCTAGGGCACCGTCCCTAGCTCCGCCCCCCGCGTACGTTGGCACGCTGGCACGCTGATGATAGCGCATGCGCAGCGGCAGCTGGCGGGCACCTGGAAACCTTTTACAACTTGGGTCGGTGTAAGATGGGTTTTTTGTTTTTTTTTTTTTTTTTCCTTTTTCTTATCTTTTTCCACGGAACCAGGCCCTTGCGCTTGCCAGGGAAGCGCTTATTCTACTGAGCCATCTCCCCGGCCCCCGGTGTAAGATGTTTTGTCTCTCTTTTTTTTTTTTTTTTCTTTTGATATGGCATCAAACTCAGGCCCCTGCACTTGCCATGCAGGCGCTTATGCCGCTGAGCTGTCTCCCCCAAGTTTAACGCGTTTCTGACTGCAGCAAGATTTCGGTTTTTCCCAAGAAAGGTATTCACAGGTATTAACATCCTATAGGCAATAGTTATGATTAGGAAATTACTCCTAAGAATTTGCTGTGGGATTTTTCCGCAGCTTTATACAACGATATATGTGCACCCATGTTTGTAGCAGCACAATTTTTCCTAGCTAAATCCCAGAAACAGCCCAAATGCCTATCAGCTGAGGGATGGGTGAAAAAGATGCGGTGTTTTTACACATGGAGCACTACTCAGCTATAAAAGAAGATAAACTAGAGGCTTTTGTAGGGCAATAGATGCATCTTGAGACCATGCTCGTGAGTGGAGTAAATCAGACCCGCCTGTGTAAACATCTTATTGTCTCCCTAGCGTACGACCCCGTAAGGCTAAATAGAATCTGAACGTACAGTACATACTGTGAAAGGGAAAGAATCTGCTCAAAGGGATGAAAAAACTGGGATGAGGGAAAGGACAAAAGAAGGAAGGGAAAAATATATTTAGGTATATATACAGAGTAGCTCGGGTAACTGTACTGCTGATTAGCACTGGTCTATTAAAAGAAACAGCTAATGCTTAAATATTTTTTCTCCTTTTTAATGTTTTATAACTTTTCTGACCACTTTGTATGATTACATCTGGTAATCTGAACAACTACTTTGAAGACAACAATATGCAACATATAATCATTTTTGAATTCCAATTATTTTTTGTTTAGTGAAATTCTGTATCATTTCTAATGTTTTGTTTACTATTTTTAATTTTCTTTAAAAAATAAAATAGGTTTAGCAAAAAAAAAAAAACAAAAAAAAAACAAAAAAAAAAACACCAACTCAGGGTTAAGTTGTTTGGAGGACACCAGTGCTGTGTCTGGGGGCTAACACATGTGACCGGGCTTTACTTGGAGCTTTGAGGCCCAGAGAGGAAGTTCGCAGCCTTCCACGTGCAGGGTAACAAGCTGTGTAATGACTCCTCTTTGTGACTCTTTGTAAAATTAATTAGCAGGCCTAATTCAGCTCTTAAACTTTGCCATTAGGCTGGCTGTTATGAAGCAAGTGGAAAATACTGGTTACGTTGTGCAGAAGAAACTGAAAGTGTTGTACATTGTGATGGAAATACCACGTCACATGGCAGCAGTGGAAAGAGTCCACGGATCCACAGAAGGCGGTACGTGGACTTAGCACATGATCGAGCAGTTCCGCCTCTGGATATGTCCCCAAAGAAATGAGAGGGGGACTCAAACAGACCTGCATACATGCTGAAGTCCATAACACTGCTATTCACAATACTCAAAAGACGGAATTCAAAAATCCGTTTACAGATGAATGGTAAGCAACATGTGTGGTGTACATTTGCAGTGACATATTGTTCAGCCTTAAAATGGGACAAAATGTTGATTCATGGGTACCATATACCGCGACCTTGAAAACATTACGCTAGATGAAACAAGCTGGACATAACACAACAAGTGCCAGCTTACCTGTGTGAAGTATATGGAAGAGGCAGATTAGTAGGAACAAAGTAGAGTAGTGCTTGCCCGTGTTACAGGGAAGGGCACGTGGAGAGTTATTGTAAAATCTCTGTGAAGTTTCGGTTTGGTGTAGTGAAAAATTTTCGGAAGATGGATAGTGGTGATGGGTGCTCAGTGTTCTTAGACTCAGTATTTAATATCACAGAATCACACTTAAAATGATTAAAATAGTTTTATGTTGTGCCCATTTTACCATAGTTCTAAAAATACAAGAAGATAATTGTTTTTACATAAATACCTAAGCCTAGGTAACTTGTACTAAGACTAGTCTTAGCAGGTGGCTATTTCGCCGTGTAAAAATCAGCAGCACAACCCAGTAGAACTTCAGCCATTGAACACCAGCCCCGTTACAGCTTAGATCATGTGTAAGCAATTACAAATTATCTTCTGTTTATTTGAGGTATTGGCTCTGCCTCCATTTCACCAAACTGCTTACTGCTAAGGGTTAGTGACCAAGACAAGCTCACTGGTGTCCTCCACTGGTGTCAGAGCAAATGCCTTTATGTGCTGTAAGTTAATCAGCTGAGAACAAAATGGAAGTGTTTCTCGGACGCCCTCGGCACTTCACCTGGGTGCAGAGGGGAAGTCACTGGGGAGGAAGAAAGGCTGGAGTGGACTGCGCTCTGATAGCCAGGGCTGCCTGGAAGCACTTTGGTCTCTAGGGCCTGCATTCCCCAGCAAGAGCTAGATGAATCTCAGGGCCTGGGTGGGACAGGGCCCATGTTTTAGGAGAAATTGCTTGGGAATGGCATACGCCATCTGGAAGGGAAGGCCCCGAGTGTTTATCACAGTCTCTTTCCTGTGGCTGGCTACAGTGCCAAATGCCCACACCTTAAAGGAGTCCAGTTTTATTTTGGGTCCCTGCTTTCTAGAATTCAGGGCATAGCTGTGTGTCTCTAAGGCAGGAAGGGCATGGTGGGAGCATCTGGGTGGGGAGAGATGCTCAGGTCATGACGTTAGGAAACTGAGAGGGAAGGAGGAGCTGTGCTGGGAGATGCATCCTCCCAGGTAATGCCTCAGTGGCCACTTCTTCCCGCGAGGAACCCCCTCCTAACAGCACGCTCAGCTCTGAACTCTTGCATGGCTGTGTCCTCTGGGAGTATGGTCCCCAACTCATTCACCTTCTGAAAGCCCTGCCTCTGAACACAGGAGGTGCTTGGAAGACTTTGTACATCTCAGCCATGGCCTCGCCCCAGGGCATACTGAGACAGTAATTGAGACTGGGTGTGGTAGGGCACGCCTGTAATCCCAGCTCTTGGGAGTCTATAAACAGGTGGATCCCTGAGTCTGATCTAGTAGTGAGACCCTGAACACCCTGGAGACCCTTCCCTAAAAAATACGGGAAAAAAAAAAAAGATAAAATCTTTCCCTGTTTGAGCTGGAGCATGCCCCAACATTCTCAAAGCCCCTTCCTGTGTACAGTGAACACCCTGGAGACCCTTCCCTAAAAAATACGGGGGGGGGGGAGGGGGGGAAGAACTGTGTTCACTACAAGTAAGCCTTGCTGGATACCGCCTGGTGGTTTTGACATAGCAGAAATGAGGAACGCCATGATGTAGTAACGGGGGTCATCGCTGCTAATGATGGCTCGAATGGCTGGCATTCATGACACTTAACCATGGGAAAGACCAAGCCTCCTCTAAAGGAATTCCATGCAACTGTATGGCTAGGCCTGCTTCTGCCAGGGAGGCTCTGAGAGGTGAGGAGCTTGACTCAAGGTCATCCAGGGGGTTGAGTGTGGCCTTCTGTGTTGGGCCTGACTGCAGAGGCCAGGTCCTTAATTGCTGCCTCCTTTTACACACCGACTCTCAGAAATGAACAAGTCTTTGTTTCGGAGCCTTGTGGAATTTGGACTGTAGCCCTTCACAGCCTGTGTTAGGCTGCCTGGGTTTATTCAGCTCTCTGTGACTTCCAGCTGTCCTCTTCCCCAGGCCCAGCATCAGTCTCTGCAGCCAGGTGGGGGGGGGGGGGACACCTGAAGGCTGGAATTTGAAGTTCTGCCTTGAGTGCTAGATTCAGCGTCGCGCCTGGAATGAGCCAGGTTCTGCCCACCCTAACCAGAGCATGCTTTTATTTTCAGTGGTTTCAGTGCTTAGTTATGGTTGCTATTCCTTCAGTGCTTAGTTATGGTTGCTATTCCTTTCATCTTTATTTATTTATAGAACAAACAGAAGGTTTCAGATGACTCTATTTAGAGATGCCATCTGGAGGGCGCACTACCATTTGAACAAAAATGTTTTGTTCCTTTCATGTGACTGTGCTACTTTGAAATGTAATCAAGTTTCCAGGATGGCTGTTTGCTTCTGTTTTGGTGGATCTTGATCATTTGCCCTGTTACACTTGGGGGAAAATTAGTCCTGGGATATTTTTATTCTTACATTTCCTTACTTTTTGTGTATTTTCTGAATTTTTGGTTGCTATTCATTGGCTTTCAACTAATCTATGTGCCCATTACTAATATACTTGCTTTTTTTCCCATTACTTTTATTTTTATTTTTATTTTATTGAGAAACAAATAGCAATGAGACATTTTCAAAACTGATTAATAGGACATTTTGAATAATTAATGTATTGTACATTGTTATCTTCTTAGTGGTTATCCATAGTACAAGATGCAGACAGGAAATCCTGTCCAAACACTATTAGTACAAATCTTTCTTCTCATTGAATTAAGAGAAAGTAACTATATATCTATCCTAACTATTCTGTATATACAGACACAAAATGGTCCTTCCTCTGTATCCCCCTTTTTATGTTTAGTCTTGTCAGAAATGGGTATTCCATTGCCATCTAAATACTATAGGTGCATAAATTCAGCAAAACAATCCGACACAGTCCAACAACCCACAACAGTAGTGGGCTATCTGCAGAAGTTGTTGACTTGAGCCTTTCACAGCTCAGCATATTAATATGGCTTTACTTTATATACCTTGTTTTTATACTTTTCTGCTGGATGGTTAAGACCAAGATAAAGCAAGACCTATATAACAAGAAATGTAA